AAAAAAAAAAAAAAAAAAAAAAAAAAAAAAAACTTTAAATACAATTATTAAAGAACAAGAATTTATCTATCATGGTTTTACGAATCAAACAAAATAATAATAATAATAACAACAATAATACTAATAAAACTACTAATAATAAATAAATAAAGAATCATAAAGAAAGAATCAAACCTTCATAAAAAAAAAAAAAACCCTTTCCTAAAAATAATTAAAATAATATTTTCCAATAGGTACATAAAAAATTTAGATGGTGTAATAAACAAAATGTTTCGAAAATCCTTTTTATAACATTTATCTGAAAAATCATTGGAGAGAAATTTAAATAATAATCGGATCAAGGTCAAAAAAAATTTGAAATGTAAATCTTTTCTCTTTTTTGCACCAATTAAAAAAAAATATCAAAAATTTTTCCGTTCACCCAATTATTTACTAATATATAACTGGCTACGGGATATTATCTTTTTTTTAGCCGATTGTAAACGTTGCCAAAAACGTTGCGATGATGCCAAGAATAACGGAATAAAAAATGATCGGCTAACTTGTTTCTTACTGGTTTGTTGCATATTTTCTTCTTTTCAAACGTTTCACTTAAAAGAATTGACTTTTTTTAAGAGCAAATTGATTTATTCGAAAAGAGTTTATTGATTGATGATACTCCGTGTTTGAGATTACGTATTTTTACGTTTAAAAATGTTGTGAGGCAACCTAACCAAATTTTTTAGTCAACAAAGAAATATGTGATTGTTACATATGTGATTGTAAACAATTTCTTATTCTCAAATGATTATTTGACCTATTTTAGAGTTTGACTTCCTTAATATAAATAATATAAAATAAATTATTATATATATATTTTTGATTTTAATTATCTTCTTATGGAACAATTTGAACAATTTCATTATTTCATTATAATATTTAAATATTATCGGTAACATCTTTATTTGATTCGATTCTTTATTGTGAAACACTATATGTCATTTGTATTATTTGTGTGTAAAACTGTGACGAGAAAAAAAAATTATCAATTATCTCGATCGGTGATGAACCCTATAAATTCACCGATCGTTAAAAATTTCGGACAAAGCCACAGCGTTATTGTAATTGGTATCACAATTTTTTGTACAGTAAAATTTGTAAAACAAATTTTTTAATCAATTTGAAATAAATGTTGTACTTCTCAAAATCTCTCATTCTCTAGAAAAAAAAAGAAATGACTCAGTGTTATGTACATGAATCATTACTAATAAATAATTATTATTATGTACATTCATTTATTTTATTCATTTCATTCTAGAAAAAAAAAATTTATGTGGAAATTACATGTAACAACCCTTTACCTCCCTTACATATTATTTATTATGCTGTATATCTTTATCGTTATGCATTAAATTTTCGTTAAAAAATTTATTTCGTAAAATTATGTGCTTTTTAAAGAATTTTCTTTTAAGAACAATTGACAAAAAAAGAATTAAAAAAAAAAAGAATTTAATTCTTTAAAAAGAACAATTGACAAAAAAAGAAAAGAAAACAAAAAAAAAATATTAAAAGAAAAATTTCAATCTTTAATTATTTTTAATTATTTTTAAATTATAAAATTCATTTTCGTGATTTTCGTGTATTGAAGGATTCTTTTACCCTTGTATTTCAATATTTTGAAATTATTAAATAATATTTAATATTTAAATGTTATGTACAAGTACAAGTATGTTTAATTGCATAAATTTAAATTTAGAAAAAATTAAAAAAAATTGAATTAATTTATCTTTAATGAAGATTTGTCATGTCGCATATCAAATTAAGTTTCCATCAAAAAATAATTCACATAATTTAAGAAAATTCTAATAAAAAAAAATATTTATTGATAATTTCTTCAAAGTAATTCCGGCATTCACTTTAAGGTAAAAATGGTGATACTACTTATTTACTTATCATTGAGATAATATCATTAAAATGATGATATATTAAAAAATTTTCAATTGGCCATTATAATTAGTTGTAATTAATATCACTAATAATACATATTTAGAAATTCGATCCGGATATCCCGGATATCACGGATATCATTACGTTTAATTACACTTGGTGTATATTACTCGTATACGATAATTTCACTAACTAAAATATTCAAAGTCTAAATCAATTTATCCGATTGAATTATACAAAGGTATAAATTCCATCCCGTTTAGAAGAATTTTTAATGAAATCTTATAATAGTTTGTCAATTAAAGATTGAATTAAATAGATTCACATATTACATATTAAATAAATTGATGTGGTGGGGGTATGTATGCCAAGAAAAGGAGGATCTTTTTTTCATTCAGTACTATAGTACTATAGTACTTATACGGTATTACGGTATAATGGTATACCTAAACTAAGGATCTTCTTAACTACACCAAACAAAAGTACCATGATTTGGAAAATCAATTAAATCATAATAACTTTATTAAATTATAAAACTTAAAATTATAAAACTTAAAATTGATTTAAATTTTTAATATAATTTTAAATTTATAAAGATTACGTTTTACGAGAACTATAGGTACGATCGGAATTATTTTTACTCCGTAATAAAATTGTAAATTACTAAATTACTATAAAATTGTTATAAAATGTAATGTCATAATTTTATACCCCGTAAAATATTTAAAAAAAAAATATGGAAGTTAAATATCGTTTTTTCTATACCGATCTCCTCTTTAACTTTATACAACTGCAGCTGGGTAGTGCAATAGGCGCAGTGTACATTAAAATGTTTATTGCGCTTAATTATTATTTTTTTACTTACATATAATGTGCATATATATGATTGCACAAAGTTTTTACATTTACAAATTACCAAGTCTGCTTAGTGCGCCAAGAACTTTTATTATTTAAATTCCTTACCAGTCATTCATTTTACGGCATTATGCATTACAGCATTTTTATGTTCAGAAGTACAACGTTGGCCTAATTAATATTTTTAATTCCAGTTTAATTCCAGCCTAAATTATGTGTTCAAAAAAGAAGGTGTAAATGGTAAAAGTCAAGTAGTACTATATGTACGTACGTTGTCAGAGATTAGGTCATCTTACGCTACATGTTTACCTATTTTCGTCCCACCCCAAATATAATAAACTTTTTGTCAAATCTCATCTCCCAGTCCACGATTGATCCTCATATAATTTGATGGTCATGATAACCTCTTGTGATACCACCTTATTCAATGCTCCTTTGCCTCTTTGACCAAGGTTTTGTCTTATTGAATCACAGTTTGCAATTACCTATACTTTATATCGTAGCCTCCTTATTAACTAATCCAGTAATTGACTACGTAATTATGACGATTATCACGAGTTTATAAATCTTGATTAGTAATATATAGTGAGGTAATCATATTGCACGTGCCTATAATGAAGAATAATTTGAATAATTTGATCTGATTTTTTGGGTTCTTTGGCCAAAATTCAAAAAAAGTAAAAAAAAACTCAATTAATTTACTTATTAAAGCTAAAATTCTTTTATTTAAAATTATTTTTTCCTACGAGAAAAAGGATTTAGTAATCCGATTGTTGTTTAAAAAGAAACAAAAAAGAAGAGATAAAAAAAAAAAAAATATGGCTGAACAAGAAGTACCAACGTTTAAACTTGTTCTTGGTGAGTTTATTAATTTCTTGGCTTTTTTTTTTTTTGTTCTGATCGGTTCAAGTCTAATTATTTATTTTTGACGCGGTTATATTAAAAAAAAGTCGGCGATGGTGGTACCGGCAAGACAACATTCGTCAAACGCCATTTGACCGGTGAATTTGAAAAGAAATATGTTGGTATGTATAAACTTTTATACCTTTTTTACCTTCTTAAACCTTTTATTTAAAAGATCTTTATTCTTTTTTTTTGTTGATCTATTCGTACTTTACTAACTTTTTAAACTATAGCCACCCTTGGTGTGGAAGTTCATCCTTTAACTTTCCATACAAACTTTGGCCCCATTTGTTTCAACACATGGGACACTGCGGGGCAAGAAAAGTTTGGAGGTCTCAGGGACGGTTATTACATTCAAGGGCAATGTGCCATCATCATGTTCGACGTAACATCTAGAATTACATATAAGAATGTTCCAAACTGGCACCGAGACTTAGTTCGTGTATGTGAAAATATTCCAATCGTTTTATGTGGCAACAAGGTTGATATAAAGGTTAGTATATATTTGTGTGTATATAAATATATATATATATATATGTATAAGTGAACGTTAAAAAGTTACATAATGTTTCATTTTTAAATTTTATTGGCGAAAATCTGTATATTCAATACTTTAAAAGCATTAAACTATTTATTAACATTGATACCTTTTGTTATCTTAATAGGAACGTAAAGTTAAAGCAAAAACTATTACTTTCCATCGCAAGAAAAATCTTCAATATTATGATATTTCCGCCAAGAGTAACTACAATTTCGAGAAACCGTTTTTGTGGTTAGCTAGAAAACTGATTGGGTATTGTAAAAAACAGAGATTTTTTTTTTTTTTTCGTTCACGTTTAAATTTGTTTATCAAAATTATTTAACTTTTTTTTTTTTTTTTCTATATGCATATATATGCATATTATATTTTATAGAAATCCAAATCTTGAATTTGTTGCTTCTCCAGCCTTAGCTCCACCCGAGGTAGATTTTACGCCCAAGGATGCAGAAACTTACGAACGAGAACTAGCGGAAGCTGCCGCAGCACCTCTCCCTGGTACGAATCTTGTTTGTTTATTTTTTTTTACAATTTAAATTTATCATAAATTAACATCATAAATTTTTCTACTTGATTTTAATAGAGGAAGATGACGATCTTTAATCTTTTCAATCAAATTATTTGAAATTTAAAATAGTAGTATAATAAATAAGTAAAGGACTGTGCAACAAAAAAAAAATTGTATTGTGTTTTAATTACAATGTTGCAAATGAAAAATTTTACCAAAGTTTTAATATGCTTTTAAAATATCAAAAGTGTTCGGTTCCGTTTTTTTTATTTATAAATTTTATAAATCAAATATTTTAATTTTATCGTTGTTCCAAATTTAAGAAAAATTCAGATATATAAAAAAAAAGACGTTATGTGAATACCGCGTAATCTGCTTAGCATGTAGGTCTATTAAATCGTCACAACTTATTAAAAAAAAAATTAGTATAAATTTATTCTCTTTGATGTAAATTTATTAAAATCTGATAGAAAATAAATACACAGAATACAAAAAAAAAAAAAAAAAAAAAAAAAAAAAAAAAAAAAAAAAAAAAAAAAAAAAAAAAAAAAAAATTTAAAAAAAAAAACAAATTATATTTTACACTTGGGATAAAAATTATTTACCTAATAAAATATTAACATGAATCCAAAAAAAAAACAAATTTACAACCTAATATTTTATTAATATTGAAAGATAATAATTTATAAAACAAAAAAAAAATTTTTTTTTCTTTTAACTTTTTTATAAAGTAAAATTATTTTTATTCTTCATTGTTTATATCTTCTGTTGAATTATATTCAAATGTTCTACCAAATCCAACATATTTTTCCAAATCAAATTCCATAAAACGAAACATATATAGTTCCACGGGTAAAAGGTGAGATCTAAGATTATCATCATCATAATTTTCATTCAGTGGTGAAGGTGCAGTAGAAACGGTACTTTCCCTTCTCACTAAAGCAACAGAAGAATTCTCTGCTCCACCTGAACTTTCTGCCGGTGTTACTGCGTTTTCATCAAATTCTATTAAATCTGATTCCATTTCTTTCTTCGCTATTTGTGCAGCATTTACGTCTGTATCATCTTCAACTTTTGCTAAACATTGTTCTAATTCAACCCCTGATTCCGGTTCATCATTAATTTCTTTGTCGTGATCAGGTGCGATCACTTTTACTATATCACGCCAATCAACTTTTGGTTGTGACCAGAAATCAGTTGTAAACCCACCATCAGTGATAACCATTTTATCAAGCATTTCTTTTTGTTGTGCTTTTGCAAGCATGTTTTCTTCTATTGTTGCTTCACATACAAAACGAAATATGTTTACTTCACGTGTTTGTCCAATACGGTGGCATCTAAATGGGGAAAATTTTTAATCAATTAATATCAAATTCATAAAAAATCAACATATTTATTGGTTTTTGTTTTTAAAAGAAAATGAACTTTTGCTTATTTACCTATCTTGACACTGTCGATCCATACAAGGATTCCAATCTATATCATAAAATATAACAGTATCTGCACCTGTAAGATTAATACCCAATCCACCAGATCTCGTTGATAATATGAACACCAAAATCCTTGGATCATTATTGAATCGTTCTGTTAATAATTGTCGTTGCTCTATTTTAGTAGCACCATCTAAACGAAGATAACGATGTCCATGAATGTTCAAAAAGATTTCCAGTATATCAAGTACACGAGTCATTTGTGTGAAAATTAAGGCACGGTGACCCTTTTCTTTAAGGTTGCGAAGTAATCTATCCAGTTCTTGCAATTTACCACAATCATATTGTAAAAGTCTCTTGTCAGGAAAAGCAACCATAAGCTTAACTCGTATCGGATAATATAAGTCCTGTACGTGATTATGAATAATATGTTGAAACTCTTCAGGTAACCCGGATAATGCGTATGAACGAACCTCTGCAGCAACCACCGCTGGAGTCACAAAAACATATTTCTTTATGATTTCTTCCATCATATCATATCTTCGTTCATAAGATACAACCATATCAGGTAATGTGTTAGTATGTTCTAAATACTTTCTGGGATTCTTAGAATCCATTAAAGCTTGATCAAATGGTGATTTACCCAATTGCCTACATATGTTAATTAAACCTGTTCCATATATAGGACGACGTTTAAGGCGAAAAGAATTGATATATCTCATATGTTTCCAACGTTCTAAACTTTCTATATGAGCACGGTTTTGCATTACATTACCAAACTTGCTAAGACTATAATAGGATATCTCTTCGACAATGTTGTTAATTCTTGAATTATGCAAATTAAGTTTTTCTATGAACAAATTGTCTGAATCTAATTTATTACATTCAGAAGAAGCCAGCCAATCCATATTCTCATAATAAATTGGTAAAAGATTAAATAAGTCAAAATTTACCATCTTCAAATAATCGTTCCCTCGATTAAGTCGATTACGTAGAGTCATCTCACAATATTCATAATCTCTAATAGCGGATCGACTCATTGCAAATGAAGTTACAATAGGTCGGACTTCAAATAAATCTGGGTGATTACAGACCTTACGTAGCTGCATAAGACAATTTATGATACTTAAAAAATTTCCTGATCGAAGAGTCTCTTTAGTTTTAGATCTAGACATAAAATCATCATATAAAAATCTTTGTCTTTTCGATAAACGACATTTGATAATATGAGTATGCTTGGCTGGTAATTGTTTTTCTACATCAATTTTTAACCGACGTAGAAGATAGGGTCGCAGTAATGTATGTAAGGTAAGAATAGCTGTACGAGTCTTTTCATCAAATCCTTCATTATTTTCAATCATTTTATCAACAGGTCGCGAAAACCAGTCTTGAAACTCTTTCTGGTTAGCATACTCGAATGGCATGTCATCATTACGTGCATTGGGTTTTAAAAAGTACAGTAATGACCATAATTCCATAAGATTGTTTTGTAATGGTGTTCCAGTTAGTAGCAATCTCCTCTCAGAATTAAAGTTCAATAAAGTATTCCAACGTTGGGATTTAAAATTCTTGATATTATGAGCTTCGTCAAGAATCAAATAGTGCCATCTCTTTTTCCTGAAATTAATCGCATCTTGTACTGCGAGATGATAAGACGTAATACAAACGTGGAATGAATGTTCTTTAGACCATCCTAACCGTTTTTCTTTACGCTCTTTTGGACTGCCATAATAGGTTAAAATAATAAATCCGGGACACCATTTTTTAAACTCCATTTCCCAATTAATAATGACACTTGTAGGTACAATAATTAAATGAGGTCCCCAAACGCCTTTATCACAAGCCAAATGGGCTAATAATGCGATAGTTTGAATAGTTTTACCGAGACCCATTTCATCGGCAAGAATACCATTACTTCCTTGCTCATACAAGCTAGCAAGCCAATGAAGTCCATCATGCTGATATGCACGAAGTTGACCCCTCAGTAATGATGGTATTGGAGTCCTCGTTTTGGTTGTATTAGAACTTTGTGTTGACGTTTCTAATTCCGAAAAGCTATCATCATCACTATCATATAATGATAAGTCTAGATGATTTTTTTTTAAATCCCGATTAGTGGTTCCATTCAATACTGGTTTTATCTCTTCAGAACGATCTGTATCTTCTTCATTCTTTTCTTCAGAATGTTTATTAACATTAACACCATAACGTTTCAATAATTCATCTATGGGAAGATTCATTTCATCAGCTAAATCATTTAATTCAACTGCTTCCTCTTCAGAATCTTCCTCAAGTTCTTGAGCTTCCAATGAAGCTTCATCATCTTCAACATTTTGATCCAGTGCCATTTCGGACATATCCGGATCTGTAGATAAATCATCGTCATGATCAAAATCGAGAGGATAATCAATTTCCAAGTCCTCATCTATGGACATTTGATCGTTATCGAACGAATTAACATCCGCTCCGGATTCCTGATTATTATTGTCATCTTCATTAGTTTTATTAACAATAGTATTGTCCGTAGAAGCAGTACCCATTAAATATTTTTCGTGAAATTCAATCTTCTGAGTGGCATCTTCAAAAAGCGCATTAAGCTTTTGTTTGCCTCTTCTTTCTTCTTCTTCGGCCACTAACTTGTCATGCATATCATTAATAAACTAGAATATCAATTTTCGAATTAATAAATAATGTCATATATATATTTTTTTGAAGTAATATCTATGGATATAAATTTTGATACATCAAAATATAAGATGATATTTTGACAATAAATATAAGATAAAAAAAATGAATAAATAAATATATCGTGTGAAAACTTACCTTTGATATTTCTCTCCATCTTTGCTTAATTAGATTGCCTGTAGTCTTAGCCAACTTCTTGATCCGTTTTTCTTCGGCTTTTATTGCGTTTGGCTCTTTCATTGCCAATTTATTAAAATGTCCTAAAATTGCTCTACTGATTTGATGCGTTTTCTTTAGCCTTTCATCACTACTTTTATTTATCCTTTTCGATTTTGCAATTACTCCATCAAGAATATAATCCCAATGAGTTTTTTGGCGTGGTGGTTCAGTAGCTGGTTTAGGAATTGGTTGTAATTTTCCTTGATTTTTTAAGACCCAAATGCGATAATCAACGTCTATTTCACTTTGGAGCTTAGCTTCTTCCTCAGCGGGAGTAATATCTTCATCATCCAAAGTGACGAACGATTCCAAATATGCCTCAAAACTTGGAAATTGAGCATGACCTCTCTTACGAAGCGAATACAATGTCATACTACCTGATGATGCATTATCACGGTTATTAGTAGAATCTACTCTTGAGGACCTACGTTGAGTGCGACTTCCACTATCAGAATCTCCGGAAGTGTGTTCGGATGGCATGACATTATGGAACACACGAGAACCGATAGATTGTTGTAACATACTGAGAATAGAGTCACGATGTTTGTTAAGTGACCGACGAGTGGACATCCTAGTAGAATTTGATTGGATGCTGTTGGTGACTTGGTCGTTTAAAGAGGACCATAAGTTGTGATTTTCTAAGTACTAAGTCAATCATTATAATTAATTATTATTATAACAAATAAATTGTAACCACCCATTGAGCACACCCAGAATGATTTTATTTAAAACAGATGTAAATGAGTATAATAAATGAAAAAAAAAAAATTTCAAGTTTATTTATCAATATTATATTATACAGAATAAAAGTAAAAATAAATAACTTTAAAATTCTGAATAAGTTAAATTTAAATCTAATATGAATCAGGGTAACGGTGCGAGACAATCGTACCTTAACCATACGCTCACTATTATCAGAATTTATTCTTTGTGGGTCGAGATCCCACATCAACATATTAAAAGATTCCATATAATACAACTCTCGAACCAAGCTGTCATGTTCTTCAACAACTTGTACGAGACTATCTACGCGTTCCTTTACATGCTCTTCACGAATTATATCCAAGGGAGTCTTTGGTTTATCTGGCATCTTTGACGTTATCTGTAATGTAGATTCTTCACTATTTGATGAAGTTTTTGCTCTTTTCGTCCTAGGAGTAACGAAAGCTTCTTTGGTATCATTATGACGCGCGGATTGTCCGTTAACAGGAGATGATTTCATATTATCCAATGGTGACGGATTTTTTCGAGGTCGACCCGGTCCTCGTCTAATAGGGGTAGTATTTACAGGGGCGGAGGCCGTACCTGAATCAAAAGAAAACTTCAAACGAAGGGACTTTACAGGCATTAAAGGTGGTTTACCAGTAGGTTGATTCAATTGTACATTTGGACGAGTTGTTATAGGTGAACTTATGTTGCGTTGAAGCTCTGAATCATGGTTTTTCCGTGGTCGACCAGGACCTCGTTTAGGACTAATGACTTTAACTTGACTTTTTGCAGATAAGGATTTCTTTTTCGTAGGAGATTCAGTACTACTATTACTACTAAAGCTATCATTACTAGTATCTGTTTCTGAGTAAATATTATATCTCCTAGGTTTTTTTCCAATGTTTCTCTGAGACCTTCGTGTAGTAGTTACTGCGGCACTACTATCTTGACAGATTACCACTTTCACTTCCTCATTTTCAGTAAAATCGATTCCACTAGCACTTTGTTCGCTGGAGTTTGACATTGTCAATGCACAAGCTGCGACCATTTTAGCAAGAAAATGTTCATACTTTAGTCAGAACAGGGAGTGTGGCGAAGAAAGTTCACGTTCTCGTTTTTTTTTTTTCGTCACTTTTTTTTCACTCCTAGTAGGAGTGACTATCAGAGTTATTCTGGTGATTAACCAATAAATCAGCATTTTTAGTATTTTTATACCAGTGATTATTAATTTCTAAGCGTAACTTAAAATCTTATGGGCTAATTTCAGTCACGTGATAGTTTAAATTATTACGTAATCAAATAACCAATTTTAAAATTGTATTACCAATCGATAAATTCTAAGTCATATTTTTAACATATTCAGTGTCATGTTTATAAATTTTATATGCCTCACCCAATTGTAATAATAATTTATTTTTTATCAGAGAAATAATAAAATTGTACAAAATTATTCTAATTTCAAAATATTTAAAAACATAAAGATAAAGTCGTCCCGCTACTCAATGTAATAAAGAAAAAAAAAAATCCTATATATCACGATAATCTATCACCTTTCAATGTTAATAATTTATCATGTTAGTCATGTTTGTACAGTATCCCGAACACAACATATTGATAAATTGACAAATGTCGTATGAATGTCATTAAATAATAGATAGCTGGTTTGCAGAGAGAAGGTAATTGGATTTTGTCCATAATAAATTAAGAAATATTTATCTTTTTACCCAATTCAATCAATACTTTCAAATTTTTATAAATAAGCTGTTACGCAATGCATGTCTTATTATAATCTTGAATAGTTTAAAACAGTTTATATCTGAACATTCTTAACCTCGATCTTGGCTTCTTCCCAACTACTTAAATTCTATAAATTGAGATATTGTATTTAATATTTGTTTACAATTATTAGTAAAATCCATCAATTATATACCTTTTTACACCATGTTACATGATTCTTTGCATAATTTAAAAGCATATCTCTTAAATCACGAATTTTTTGACGTTGAAAACGGTCCAAATCTTCTTGAATTGAAGCTGAGATGTTTTTTAAATCCTCGGCAGTCGTTACCTTAGCTTCTTCAAGCTGAATTCATCAAGAAATGTAAAAAAAAATTATTAACAAAGCAACTAATGCAATAAAAGTAATTTTAACTAACTTGGATTATAGACTCTCTAGTTTTCCCGATACTATTTCTCCGAGTAGCTTCCGGATCAACGTCCATAATCCCATGAATTGTATGACTAAGAACAGAAAAAAGCTTCGAGCCGCTACGCCTCTTTTGGTGAGATTTGGTAATTGTTAGTGAGTCCCCATTCTGCGAATGCTCATGATGGTGACCGTTTTCTCCGATAGTATTTTCATTACTTTCACCATCAAGATTAGATTGTGTACTCTGAATGGAAGTATCTTGGATGCCACGATCTTTAACTAAAGCTTCTTCTAACCTTTTTGACTCTTGTTCCGATTTTTCCAAAACTTCCAAATTGAATTTTTGCTTCTCCAATGTTTCGGCTGTAAGTTCCATTTGTAAATGTTTTAGGTGTCTATATTTAAGAACCTGTTTAATAACCTGTGCAAACTGCGAATACTCTTGTAATGGTTCAGAGAATTCAGCTTCAAGTGAAGAAGTCTAAAAACATTTATACGTTAAGAAATAAGTTATTGTGTCTATCATTAATTAAGATTAATTAATATATGTTACCAAAGATCCTGTAGCCATAAAAGAAGAGTCAACAGCTTGTCCCACTTTTTCGATGGCGTTAGCTAATTCGCCATGTTCGTTTAAACTAAACCCATTATAAATTGCACCTAGCTCGGCATAATCATTTGACAAATCTATATATGAAAATGCAAAACATATACGTTAAAAAAAAATATATATAGTATAAAATAATAAATTAAGAATACCATTCAAACGTTTCCAAGTTCTCTTGTTTGTCTTTTCTAAATTTTGACTTATATGATATGCAAATTTGTTTGTATATGCTTCAGAATCTATAAACCGTGGATCAGGATTTTTTAATGGCTGAGAAGCATTCGGATTAGGAAGTACGGTCTGCTGAACCGTGCTACTAGTAGGTGACGAAGACGCACTAGAGGGATGTGACGACGAAAGATTAGCAGGAGATCCTTGAAGAATATTTTTTGGCAAACTGGAAAGCAGACGAGATTTCAACACATCATTCTATATAGTGTACATTTGGTAATAAAGTAAATAATAAATTAATTATAGATTTATAACGATAGTCGAAATTTACGAAAAAATTATACCCAAGAAACTCCAGTTTCCAAAAATTTGTGAAACACGTGTTCGTTTGAAAGTTGTGGATGGTTTGATACACGATTTAAGAAACTTTGCAACATTCTTTTACGTTTCTCGATAATTGCGACGTCTTCTTTGGCCTTGCCTTGCAAAGTCGCATAATCAGCTAATCAATGTCACATACAGGTCAAATCAATTGACATGTATTGATCTAAGTAAATCAATTGATATATAATTGAAAAAGAAAGTATCTCGCCTCCTTTCCATTAATTGGATTAAGGTAGCAAAGAATTTAAGATAGATCACCAAATGAATGTTTCTCGGGAATTGGCGGAACTATCAATGTGGGGTATAATCTCATTAAGGATTTTCTCAAGGATTCGAATTCTGAATAGCGCCGCTTAACTTCTTCTTCCTATGGTCCCCAAAAGTATGAAATAAAATTGTTAAATAAAAACTTCTTTAAACTAAGATAAAGGACAACGGTTTTATTAATGTTTGTACATAGAATCAAAAAAAATACGAATGGTTACATACCCCTACTTTTACTGTGTATGTAATAAACGAACTCCCACTATCGTCAGATGTTTTCTGTGCATTAGTAATCAAAATGACAGTTCCTTCAGTGTGAATTTCTTTGTCAATTTGACAGCAATAGTGGGTTTTAACTCCTGGTTTATACTGGTAATTTATCGCTACTGTTGGTCTAGCTGATCTAGTTTCTTCTGCTTCTAATTCTTCCTCAGAATCAGAATCATTTCTCGTGTTGGAAATAGCGCCTAAAAAAGGGTCTATGTTTTCAATGTCGGACATAACTGAAAATTCGCATTCATCGATTGTATCGAGTGTAGCTGTATTATATACATATCGTCGATCAGCCACTTCATCTATTAAATTGTGTAACTAAGTAATATTGTATCATACATGCAGACAATTTTCTTAATTTTAGGAATTTATTTAATAAAAGAATTACATTAAATAAATAATAAAATAATTTATTAAATGTGTTTATATATAATGCCGTTAAATTAATTACTCAATTAATTGCTAAAGCTTCTGACAACGTTTTTTTCATGATGAAATGCAATTGATCTAATTGATCTAATGTAATCCTTAAAATCAAAGAAAATATTATAAAGAATAAATAAAGAAATTTATTTTATTTATTTTACACCCTACAAAAATATTTATGTTAGAATCTTGATAAAAAGGTACTAGGATATTAAACTTTTGCTAAATAGCAGTTATAATTAACATACCATGCATGTGTCATATATTTTTGAACAGCTATCAATGCTCTATAACGAACTTCCGGATCTTCATGTGTCATAAGTTCCATTATTCTCTGTTTAGCACCAATTTCTTGTAAAAACCTATATCAAATATAAAATAATATCCTTTAAAAATAATTACAATATAATAAATACAACATATAAATACAACATAATACTTCATACTTCTTCCCGCTAGGATAATATTTTACATATTGTCCTAAATCGTGTGCAGCAATTGAAAGGACTGCATTATCACTTGACTGACTAAGCAATCTTGCTAAAATCCTATAAATACAAATAAACAGAGGAAACATTAATGTGATTCTGACTTATACAACAAATACTTTATATAATAATAATTTCAATACCTTACTAATTCATGATCTTTCTCATTTAACTTTGCTACATTTTGTCTCCAAAATTGATCAGACTCATGAGGTGGCGACCATTGAAGCATACCAGAAGTAATTTCTGATGCATACTCATCAAAAGTCCTAAAAATTGACAATCAGTTTAATTATCGAATCATTTTGTAAAATAAATATTTAAATATCTTAAATAACTTACGTCAAACTATGAAAGTTTTCTTGAAGTCGCTCTTTCAAAAAATCAATATCTTCGACGATTTCCTTGTCAGTCCATTTTCGACTCGATAAATTCTCACAAAAGTTTAATAATCTTGCAACTAACATTGCAGGCAAGTTAGCTTCTGGAGCTTTTTCAACCAAATTCTTTAAAATCAATATTTAAAAATTTGATTAGAACTTGAAATGATAAGAAAAATAACCGAAAAGATACAAGTTTCTATTTACTCTGAAGGTTCCAATAATCACGCGAATTATCTTTTCTTTAATGGCAGCTTTGGCAATATTGATCAGCGTAGGAATCAAATCATATTTTCTATGAATAAATAAAATAAAATAAATAAATATAATAAATAAATATAATTGTAATAAAAGTAATTTTAAATTTACTTGTTAAATTCCAACGACACTTCTCTTTCAAAGGTTAATAGCCAGAAACAAAAAATTATTTGATACTGCATTTGAGGTGTAGGATTTCTAACTTTAAGAAGATTAACCAATCTACATGAAAGAACTAATCAGTATTATATAATTTACATATCGGAACTTATAAACAATATAGTAACTACTCACGTATCTACAGCTTGCGAAACTTCCCACAATTTTGTACGATAACTTGGAATTCTCAAAGTTGAAGCTAATATCTGAACAGCAAGGTCATAAACATTAGTATTATTACTCTTGAGCTTCAAAGTGATCCAGCGGAAAAATTCGTCAAGATCAAAAGGAAGAGCTTTTGGTGCAGAGCTAAAACATAATGTCACGTTATAAATTAAATTTTAGTCAACAACCAATTAAATTGACGTCAAAATAAAAATTTCTTACACGATCAATAAAGTAAGAATTTTAGAGGACATTAGAGGAACGAATTCATCTTCAACTTTAAACAAGCTGTACAGTGACAACAGAATTAGTTAATTTCAAATCCTCAAATAAATTTAAATATGTATATATATATATATATATTTCGTTACTTTAAAAAAATACGGTAAGGAAGTTCAACATCTTTTTCAGAAAGTTTATGGAAAAATGTGACACGTTGTTCATTATCTAAATACAAAGTATTATTATTTTGAGTATATGATAATTTTGTATTTAGTAGTTCAACAGAAGATTCATCTTACCTGATAACATATCATTAACCAAAACCAGGATATATTGTACCGTATCAACTCGGTTCAATTTCTCCAAGAGATTTGCGTATAATTCTGTATATTTTTCTTCTTCCTAATAAAAAGGTAAATTCATGATACCTTCTTCACCCTAATAATAAGGACAAATACATGATAATAGAAGGTAAAGAGACATTATATAAGCATACCCTTTGCAAAACTATTCTTAATTGTTCGGGACTTTGTTTATCAACTTTTTTTAAAAGATCGAGTTCGTCCTTGGTAATAAGGTCAGCAGTTTTATAACCCTAAAATAATAGAATAGTAAAGTGTCAAATAGCTTCCTGTTAAACAATAATTTAAATCTAAATAAAGTTTAAAACCAAAAAATTTATGAGATTAAAGTTCCAACAACAAACCAGCAATGACTAGACAATTGGTTTAGAAACTTACATCCCAGGGAATTGGACGTGAACGTATACCACTTGTAAGTTCGTCCAAATATGAATTTGAAACAAATGCTAATGGGACATCGGGAACTGTCTCGTCTATTACTTCGGTCATTGTGAACAAATAAATGAAGTAAGTAAAGTAAGGAGTAAAGAAAGTAGGGACCGAGATATAAATCTCGTCTTGTACATATATTTGGCGTAATCTTAGATCAAGAGATGAAAGATGATTACACCGAATGATCGACAATATCGTAGATAATCCGAGGTTGTAAAATTCAGCCGAAAAAATTTGACCAGAATTAATAATACCTTATGTTAGTTATGATGATCTAAATAGTACAAAGCATAAACTGATCACTGATCAAGGATATAATCAAATTAAGAAGAGAAGAATTAGATTGTTTTTAGCTATATAGAGATAACTAACTTGGTTATAAATATTGCAGTAATCGGATAAAAAATTCGATTTATTATCCAATTAGGAGTCACGATTCTGATGCCCTAATAAGAGTGTACCGTTCACATGTGTGACGGTCATCTGTCGTTTATTGACCAATCATTAAACGGAACAGAAATTCCGTCCTACATTAATAAGAATAACGTCACAAAAAATACAACGAAAAACAGATTTTCTCCCAAATACCTTAAAGGTTGCAAACTAATTCCATCTTTAATAGATCTTGCCCCCCAAGAGTCCACCTTCGTGACATTTTCGTTATTGCCGTCGTCCTTGAACCATTTTGCAAGTAGTCTCAGCTTTGGGACTGGAAATTTATATGTTAATTTTTTTCTGAAAAAGTGTTAACATGCTTACTAGAAGACGTGAAGAAAATTCTGCCGAAGTTACGGGTCTGAGTTCTCCTAAACGTATACGTGTGGGTGATTCGGATCACGATTCACAGTATCCATGCTTTTCAGCACTCTCTTCTTCACACACATATACAATTTCAACCATCACTCCTGTTGAGACAATTAATTTCTCAAATCAAGAAGATTTGACCACATCTTCAGAACATTCCGCTAATCATAACCATTACGTCGCAACAGACGAGACAATTCGGCCGTGTCAAACATCGACACGGACTTTACAACTTAGTCTAGAAGCGAGCAATCAAAATTTAGTTACCCAAGAATATACTATAATAGAAAGAACTCTTAATTCAATCATTTCGCAGCCAGAGGCTGTCGAGATAATCGAAGACTCTAAAGGGGGGCCCTACGTAAAATCGGCGGATATTTTAGATGAAGATGTGGCTGGGAAACATCGTATTTTTGTTGAAAAAGAAGACGATGACGACGATGATGATGAAGATTGGAACGAGGGTGACCACGTGAACGATAGTAGTGATGAGACTTCGTCCATTGATGATATTATTGATCAAATGAATCATGAGAATGTTGATGAAGATGAAGCATTGTCGATAAGCAAGGAAGATCTAAGTAGAATTATTTATTTATTTATTTCTCTTTATGTGATGCAATAATTTTTATATAGTTTTAATTTACGAGAATCCTATTACAGATATTCCGCCCTTGGATGATGACGAAGTTGAGTATTATAAGCAGGAGGCTCGAGAGAAAGGTTTTTGGCTTATAATATTTATTTTCTGAATTGGTATTATAATGTATTGAGTTAACCTTTATTTGTAAATTTTTAGGAACACAAAATTTTATTCAAGAATATTTCTTTGAAAAAGGAATTTCTCTTCAAAAACTATTTTATGCTTTTGATTACAAATTGGTTAGTTAAGTTAAATTATATTTTTATTGGATTTAAATATTATCAAATTCTCATATCTTGGACTATTACTTTACTGAAACTATAGCCTGGAAAAATAAACTTTTCTGATGTGCAGTTAATTCAAGTTCTTAGTAAAGTCGTACAAAAGTTTCTTAGACAGCGTAAAAAATTACCTAACGTCAATACTTTAGAGGATGTTATCGAATTATTACGAGTATCAAAAAACATTATGGTTTTGACAGGTGCAGGGGTTTGTAACAAATATTTATTTATCGAAAAAAAAAAAAAAAATATTATTATTTATCTAGACAAGAATCATAACATTATACTAATAAGTGATGAAAATGATCAGGTGTCCGTTTCATGTGGTATTCCTGACTTTCGATCAGAAAATGGTATTTATTCTAGATTATCTGAATTTGACCTGGATGATCCACAAGATATGTTCGATATCAATTATTTTAGAGATTGTCCTGAAGTCTTTTATTCATTTGCAAAGGTTGTTGTTTCATTACTTTTGATTATTCAAAGAACAATTTATTATTTTAAATTTTTTTTTTTTAATATATGGATTTGAATTTAATATACAGGAAATTTATCCCAGCAATTTCACACCTTCACCTTCACATTATTTTGTAAAACTATTGGAGGAAAAGGGGAAGCTCTTGAGAAATTACACACAAAATATAGATACACTTGAACAAGTTGCTGGAATTGAAAATGTTTTACAATGTCATGGTATTGTATTTTATAAATAATTTACAAATAAATATTAGGATAAAGATTCATACCTCTTTCTTCTTTACAAAATATAGGATCTTTTGCAACTGCAAGTTGTATTGTGTGCGGATATAAAGTAGATGGCAACGAAATCAAAGATGACATTCTAAATCAGCGAGTACCATACTGTCCTAAATGTACCAACGATGACGAAGGCGATGATATAGGAGAAAGTGCCTCTATAATGAAACCTGACATAGTATTTTTTGGCGAAAAACTTCCTCCAGAATTTGATCGGTCATTCCCTCGAGATCGAGAAAAAGTTGACCTTCTGATTGTGATGGGAAGTAGCTTGAAGGTTGCTCCTGTCAGCGAAATAATGGGTATGTCTCATCTACATATTTTTTATGAATTTAATTTTGTTAAACCATCGTATTTCATGAAGAAATATTATGACGAAGTAATTACAAGTTCAGAACAGATGGTTGAAGAAATATATGTTAAATGGCTAATTTTTACTTTATATTCGTTTGTAATAGGACAAATTCCTCATCGAGTTCCTCAGATTGTTATCAATCGAACACCTATCAAACATATGCAGTTCGATGTGCAACTTCTTGGTGATTGTGATATTATAATTCCTGAACTTTGTAGAATGCTTAGATTGGAGTTAGTTCATGAAAAGCTGCCTGGTGGTTCGTCCTCGTGTAAAAAATCTGAACCTTATCGATTTTTGGATCCACACATTTATTTATTTGAGGGAGCGGTAGTGAAACAAGGAGATTTGACTGGACTTGGTGTAAGGACAACAGGCATTGAAAATTTAAGCATTCAAGAAAAAAACAAGGTAGAAACTAGAGAAGAGAGTGAAGGGAATGAAAATACAGTGAAGAGTAATATTTATCTAACTTAGATACATGATCGATCATTCATGATATTCATACCGATTTATCACATAATGATATTAAGCTTGAATCATTATACTATTTATATTGAAGTTATCAAGATTCACTGTCACAATATGATAGAAATATATACACAATCACAACCACATTCTGCTTCTTAAATTCCTCATATTTTCGTATTCTATTTTATTAGAACAATCAATTGCATAAGTATATGGGGAAATTGTGAAATTTTTTTACTTACATGAACTGTTTTTTTTTAGCTATAATAATAAGAAGTTAAAATCCAGATCAGATTAATAGATTTTCAGTAAACATTTTTGATTTATTTATTTCTTCAAATATAAATTTAGGGAATTTTTGTATAGATTTTAAAATTTTATATTTTAAGTATATTAATTAATTGTACAAAATGGATTGAATTTCAATAAAATTGCATAGTCTTAAAGTTTAATGCTAATTTTAGCTTATTGCTGAACTTGTATTGAATTTATGGTTTTTAATACTTTCGCACGAGGTATCGATGGTTTAGGTAAAAACCATCTTTATAAGGCACTTCTGGTTTATCGATTTTATGTCTTATCAGGAAAATTTCAATTTTTGCATTGCTTTATTTCCGGCTCGACAATTGCCAGGTATAATAACAGAAGTCCATTATCGGAATGTCATAATCGAGTACCATCCCTATAATAAGGACGATATTCTAAATTTTTCGAATAAATCCATAATTACAATTTGGACGAGCCTCAATAGTGCTTTCATCACACTTTCCAATAGCAAATGGCATATTAATATTCTCCGAGACATAAAATAATTTTGCCTTTTTTTTCTAGGAATAAACAATTCAACACTTTAAACATATGTAAAGCTCGTCCAACTTGCTCTGCAAATTCTATATCTAATCATCCCAGCTTATCTCCAACCTTTTCTATCTATGGTTTGGAAGTGGTAATAATACTAATTACTATATAAAAATATTTAATTATATCGAGCAAACACGTCACAAAACAATTCTTTAATTTGCGCGTCAGATTTCAGTAATTTCTGATCTTATCTACCTGATTAAGGATAAGATAGTGATTAAAGTTAAAAAGATGATGCGACAACATGTAATAATGGTTACATAATATTTTGATGGTAGTCACGTGTAGAATTTTTTTGGTGAAAAGACATACTTCGCGCGATCTGACTTAATTTTTAGTTAAACAAGTAACAATGTATAATTACGTGGTCACTGCTCATAAGCCCAGTACTGTTGTCTCCTCTGTGAGGGCAAGTTTCTCTGCACCCGATGAAACAAACTTGATTTTAAAGTAAAGTTTATCTGAGTTTATGTAACATTTATTACTGTCTTTTGCTGATTTATTTTATATTAATAGTAAGACGACACGTTTAGAATTCTACACACTCGTACCGAACGGTCTAAAATTATTCATGGACTTGCCTGTGTATGCCAGAATTTCCGCAATGGAAGTATACAGACCGCGAGTATGTTATAGGCGTTGATAAAATTTTCTTATTTTAAGGACGATGATTGATTTTAATTTGTTATAGGGATGCACAACGGATCTTCTTTTTGTTGCAACAGCTCGATATCAATATTTTGTTCTATCATATGATGTTGAAAATCAGAAATTGATTTCCGAAGCAACGGGAAATTTTAAATATCGAGTTGGAAGACCCGCAGAATTGGGAGTACTTTCTGTAATGGATCCTAGTTGTAGAATGATTGGATTGTACGCGTATCAAGGATTGTTAACAGTGATGCCAATGGTGACAAATTCTGGGAAGCAAAAACAACAATTGAATAAAAGTTCTCAGCAACTCCGAAGGGATTCAAGAATTAGTCAACCTGTTGGAACCATTCAAAAGCCATTTAATTTAAGGTTTAATCATTCTATTAATTTAGCTTTCAAAGTCAAAGATTTATAATTAAATATTTATTTTAATATATCATATGTATTAAATGTAGATTAAAGGAATTATTGATCCGATCAATGGTTTTATTATATAACACGGAATTACCTACAATTGCTATTTTATACGAAGATTCAAAAAATCAATGTCACATCAAAACTTACAGAATAAATCTTAAAGAAAAAGAATGTATAGATAATCCTTGGAAATTAACTAATATTGATGATACTTCTAATTTATTAGTTGCCGTTCCCAAAGGTTAGTTGTGAAGTTTATAAATTATGATCAGCGTAATTAATTTGTTAAACATTAAATATATATTTTTTTTAGGTGGATTTTTAATTGTACAATCAAAAACCATTATATATTACGATGGTAATTTTAGACCTAGACAAATTGATTTGGAATTTCCAACTGCGGCAAGAGGGTAAATTTCAATCATATTATTTATTAGAAAAAGATTTTTAGTCTCGATAAATACACAAAGAAATTAATACCTTAGTAATTAGAATTGGCTTCTCAATTAAAATTTCCGTAATCGTCATCAAAAAGATTTTTCGGTGATTGGGTTTCGACCACAGGCGATATATCAAGTAGAAGTTAATGAAATAAGCATAGTTAGTACTCACAGATTTATTTGAGTTTGGTTAGAATGATTAGGGTGCCTCACAATGGATTGAATTAAGGGTTGATGTATAATTCTTATTATGAAGCAGAGCCCAAGACTCAATCCAAATGTGATTTTGAGAGTAGAATGATTCAACCTTAATATGCGGTTGATTTATTCACACTAATATAACTCAAATGAATTTGTTGATGTAACTATTAACAAGACTTTACAAATTAGATATTAAATTGTATTTTTTTGGGAAACTTTCTTTTAATAAGAATTGCGGCTGTTGACGATGACGGATCAAGATATTTGATTGGTGATGTATTTGGACAACTTATTTTAATTGTGTTACCCGATACAGGAGACTTATACACCCATTTTCTTGGAAAGGTAAAAAAGAATGAATTTTAAATTAAGATTTAATTATAACATATATTGCATAATTTTAAACTGATCATTCCACATATATTTATAATTACAGATTTCGGTACCATCAAGCCTTCTTTATCTTGATCATAGTTATGTTTTTGTTGGGTCACATTTTGGCGATTCACAACTAATAAGATTACGTCAAGATAAGAATGAACAAGGCTTTTTACTAGACATACTTGAAAAATTTATCAACTTGTCACCGATACAAGATTTTTGTGTAGTAAATTTGGAACGGCAGGGACAAGTATGAATTTATATGCTTGATAGCCAAAAAAAAAAAAAAAAATGATCTAAATTTTTTAATTTTAATTTTTATTACTATAGGGCCAAGTTATTACTTGTTCGGGCGGTTCAAGAGATGGGTCATTACGAATTATTCGTAATGGTGTTGGCATTACGGTTCAGGCAACACTTGATATGTCTGGAATAAATGGTATTTGGTCTTTACGCCCACGCTTTGATGCTGAGTATGTATCGATAATGCGAGAAATTTTTTTTCTTTTTTTGAGAATGTAATTAATTTAATTCATTTTTTTTTTGGTTTAGTTATGATGATATGTTGGTTATCTCCTTTATCGGGGCAACACGCATTTTAAAATTATCGCAAGGTGAAGAATTAGAAGAAATAGATCAGTACTGTGGCTTTGATATGACCCGCTCCACCATATCAACTGCCAACATAATTGGAAATTTACTTGCGCAAGTATGTTTAAAAAATCATCATTATTATTATTATTTTTTGTCCTAATTTAATTTCGGATTAATGATAATCAATTTTGATTTAAACATTAGGTCACTGAGACTAGCGTAAGATTGATAGATTTAAATAATCAAAGAGTCACTTCAGAATGGAATCCTCCAGCTCTAAGTAAGATTACTGTGGCTGATATAAATCCTACTCAAGTAGTAGTAGCACTTGGTGGTGGAAACTTGGTATATTTCGAGATAAAAGGTTTAGATCTAGTGGAAATAAAGTAAGTAACAAATTTCCATAATTTCTATTAGTTTAATCAAGACCGATTTTAAAAAAAAGTTTTTTTCAACCTTAGATCAACGACATTAGAATACGAAATTTCATGTGTTAATATTAGTCCATTAGATATTAATAAACCTATAAATTCTACGGTAGTTGCTGTAGGTCTTTGGACCATAATCGGCGTGCAGATATTGAGGTTGCCTACTTTAGAAATAATAGCAAATCAACCTCTTGAAGGCACAGCAATTACTCGTTCTGTATTATTAACAACTTTTGAGTATAATCATTACCTAATAGCTGCATTGGGTGATGGACAATTGTTTCATTTTATCTTCACTCCGGAAACAGGTCGATTATCAGAGAAGAAACAACTTTCTCTTGGTACACAACCTATAATGTTAACCTCGTTCACATCCAATGGAATGAATCACGTTTTTGCTGCTTCAGACAGACCAACAGTAATATATAGTAGCAACAAAAAATTGCTTTATTCCAATGTTAATACAAAAGTAAATAAGCCAAAACTTACTTATTTAAATATGGGTTATTTTTATGATTAATTTTTCTACTTCTTTTAACTTTTTATTGTAAAGGACGTGACATATATGTGTCCTTTCCGACCTACACCTATGGCAACATCATTGGTCATCACACATGAGGAAGGATTAACTATTGGCAGTATTGATGAAATACAAAAGCTTCATATTAGGACAATACCTCTTAACGAAATGCCACGTCGTATATTTCATCAAGAATACAGTAATACCATTGGAATTTTAACAACAAGACCAGTACCCGACCCTGAAACTGGTATACAAGAACATTTATCATTTTTCAAGATTTTAGATGATCAATCATTTGAATGTAAGTAAAAACATATTGAACACAGGATATTAAATTTTTTTAAGATGAATAATTTTATTTAAAATTCTTATAAACAAAACAAAGTTTATGATTGGTCTGAAATGTTACCACATGAATGGGTTCACTGTCTTACTTCTGTAAAATTCGATCAAGAAAAGGAAGCAGCACCAGAATATTATATTGTTGGAACTTCATTCGTTTTTCCAAACGAACCTGAATCTGAAAGGGGTAGAATTCTGGTATTCCACGTAGACAAAGAAGCTGAACATGCACATAAATTAAGATTAGTTCACCAAAAAGAAGTGAGAGGTGCGGTTTTTACATGTGCACCGTTTAATGGTAAATTATTAGCGGGCATAAATTCAAAGGTATATTATTATTTTTAGCCGGAAGCATTTCAAGTAAACGCGTCTTTATTGATTAATTTAAAATCCAATATTAGGTGATTGTTTTAGAATGGAATTCTCAAGAAGGAGAAGAACAATTGACAGAAGTTTGTTCTTATAGAGAACTTACTATGGCATTACACGTTGTCTCACGAGGTCACTTTGTAATAGTTGGTGATTTAATGCGATCTGTTACTTTGTTAGCATATAAAGAAACGGAAAAAGGAGAGAAAATGTTGGAATTAATATCTAAAGATTATAATCAAAATTGGTTATTGGCAATCGAAGCTCTTGATGATGAAGAGTTCATAGCTTCTGATGCAGATCACAACCTTTTTACCCTTAGAAAGAATTCTGATTCAACGGATGAAGAGGAAAGGAAAAAATTGGAAGAAGTGGGCGCATTTCATTTGGGTGATCAAATAAATCGAATACGACATGGTTTGGATATTTTTTAAATATATGTACAATCTTCTTTTTTTTTTAAAACGTGAAATTTTTAAGATTTAAAATTATTATATAATATTAGGATCCTTGGCTATGAATAATCCAGATATTGAACCTATTGCCTCAAGAACTTTGTTATTTTGTACAGTTTCCGGTGCAATCGGTGTTATTGCAACCATATCAGAAGAAAGGTTTAACTTTTTACAAAAGTTGGAACATTGTATAGACAAAACTATCGGTCCTATTGGTGGATTAACTCATTCAGAGTATCCTTTATTATCAAAAAATTTTTTTAAACTTTTTTTTTTTTTTTTTTTATTCTTAACTTTTAAATGATTCTTTTATAAAGTTGGCGAGTTTTTCAGAACGAATATCGATCACGTGAAGTACGAGATTTTATTGATGGTGATTTGATAGAATCTTTTCTAGATTTACCCCGTAAAGACATGGCAGAAATTGCTGGTACATTAGGCAAGAAAGTGGATGATTTATTGAAAATAGTAGAAGAATATACGAGGATACATTAATGTCATTAATGTCATTGATATCATTGATGTCTGATGTCATTGATGTATTGTTGATAAAATTGATAAAAAAAGTTTAAGTTAAAAAACTCATTCTGCCAATTCAAAAGAAGATATATCATATTTGTATTCATATATCGGGTATCATGATTGTTAATATATGTATGTACATTCAATTTTTGAACAATAAAGTATTATTATAAACATTATAAAGCATCATAAAGCATCATAAAGCATCATAAAGTGCCAAACATTATAAAATTTTTTTGTGCGCCACGTGAATGGTACAACATATGCATGATTTTTATTAATTTTTGATTTTTGTTAATCCGGATCTTTTTCTGATTGAAAGAATCTGCATCGTGAAATTGCTTGACAATGATGAGCAAAAAAAAAACATTCTATTTTTTGTGTAGAATTTTTTGAATTTTTATCTAGAATATCTAGAATTGTTTTTTTTTCCTAAAAAAAGAAAAAGCGCCGATTTTTAAAAGCGCTGATTTTTTTTTTAGATTCTTGGAGAAAAAAAGAAATGAAAA